TACCCGGGGGGTATGAATCAAATTTCGATCACGTGGAATGTAAAATACCCGGGTACCTTGCACTGCGTTTTACGGTACGAGTGTATGAGTGTACGAGTATGCACTAAAAAAATTATTTCTATTTCAATTATTTCGAAATCAGCGATAATATTTACCGTTAACGTTAATAAGCCAAAAGATATACGTATCATTTCTATTATCGTTATTGTTATGGGTTACATGAATGCATACTTGAATAAAAATTTATTCTTTTCGACAAGCCTAACATCTAATTTACAAATATAATTTGTTTATTGTAGCAATATTTGATATATGTGAACTTATGAAGAATCCTCATCAACTATCATAGTACTTGGAATTTTTTCAAATACTTCCTTAGGAGCCTAAGATATAAGAAGAGTCGGATATATATATATATATACATAAATAATCCAATTGTCTTTTATAAGTTACTGGACTAAAAAATAAATATACATACCGTTACTTTTATTCTATGTTCTATAATAGCGTTGGGAGCTTCAAATACCGGTTCAGAAGGATCACCATGCTGATGATACCGATACTTGTAGTTCGCACTACCATGTTGATGTTGCCAAGGATATGCATTGGCAGGTTTCAAAACATTATTTTCATCATTAGTAGTGGCTTTATGGCCAGCCGTATAACCAGCAATACCAGTAATTGCAGTAAGCACTCCGATTAAGGGATAAATTTCTGGATCAACCGAAATAAATCGTAAAAGTGACCGACTTCGAGCAAATCCACCACCAACAGGACCTGATGCCATTGTGTTTATGGTGAAAAAAAAATCAATGAATTTAACTTTGAAAAAAAATATTGGAGGACCATATTTATATATTTATTTCTACGTAGGAGCTTGAAAATAAATGACGATACTTTGACGTAAAAAAAATTCACACAATTCATATTAAGCTATTGGGGTTAGCGTTAGTAGAGCCATAAAGATGTCACGGTGATGTGACCGCCGACCGTTTCCGACCCATTTGATAATATAATGATCTGTATTAGAGGACAGATTAGTGGAGCAACCAAAACTCAGCAGATCGACCAAAATTTGGGGTCAGAATAGTCCGGAATCGATAAACTTATCCAAAAATCACCCAAAATTTTAACTAATGAAATTGTAGCCCATGTGTTAAGTAAAGCTGTCCAGATGATTATTGCTTATCCGACAAATTCTTATTATCATAAATGTATTTCTACTTGTTATTTTTTCACGTGTTACGATGTAATCATGTTTATTCAAATTAAAACTCAGCCGACAACTCCTAACTAGCCAATCAAACGTTCGTTTTGTCAAAAATCGCTCATAACTCAAAATTTAGTCTATGAAAAAAATTTCCTTACAAAATGTTGATATAAGAAATAATTTCAAG